TTTATCTTTCAAACGCTTTTTGTGAACGATTCCCTCTGAGATTGAAGTTTTTGTTTAGCTTAAGGATTACAGGGTGATTTACAAGGTGATAAATTTTTAGAGTGTAAACGTAACGAAACTAAATAAAGTTATGAGTATTATTATTTTCTACGCAATCGAGTATGAGGAATTAATTTATATGTTTCCAAAGCTATCTGAGCTCAGGATGTTTTATTAACCTTTAGGTACACTGGTTCAAATTCAACCAAAGTTGAAGTAAGTGTTAGTGATTTACAATACAGCTAGAGGCAATATCTTCGAGATCGATTTATCCCGATTACCATAAGTTGTCAACCTGTAGTGCGCGGATCTGGTAAAAAAAAATCAATGGCTTTTCTTTTTTTTATGCCAAATAGTTTAATTTGTAATTCAGGCTTTTGGTTGACACTTAAAGATGAGATTATGAATTAAAGACTCTGTATTACAACCGAATCAATAATTTTGCTTGGGTTTTAGGTAGCTGGTGGTGCGACGCACTACAATGCATCCACTAAAATGCACAAGAATGATTTTGTTCTTTTACTACAACGGCTTATCCCTCGCTTTGCTTAAAACGTTTTACCTGCAGGACTTTGGAGCCTATATGAATGACAAGTTCCTCGCATAAACATCGCCAATCTCTCAATAATAAATACTTGTGTAATTGTATCCAAAAATCGCAATAAAACTAAAATCGCCACTTATTTGGTTCTAGGACGCTAGGCACGAGCGTCTAATATTTGCTAATATTTCCTAGTCGTCTAGGGGTTGCGACATTATCACATAGATAAAATCCATCGGTGATTTGTTGGGATTTGAACCAAAAAACCTCTTGAACCGAAGTCCCGCGCTCTAACCACTAGACCAGCTTGCTCCCCCGCCACTTACTATACCATTAACAAAAGTGAATACACCGACCTCCCCACCTACCTTCAAACATCTACCAAAAATTCTACTCACACACATATCTCCGAAACCATCGACCCCAGGTGGGAATTAAAATTACAAAACTACCTAGGAGGGTGCAAAAACACATGTCATTACTAGGTATAGCGGGTGTCGACGCGCAACCATCTGATATGCACCACTCCGCACTCCCGACACGTCCAGCGCAATTAAACACGCTCTGTAATTTGTAGTTGTTAAAGCGGGAATTACGACTAATATACACGCATCATGCGCTATGTAAATAATTGGGAACAGATGGTCAATTAAAACCGTCGCTCTTCCTGTGGGTGGCATTGTTTTAATAGAATTACTCGAATATGCTTTATCATTGGGCCCATCTGAGGCCCCTCCCGCTCTCCGCACCTTGGGCCCGCCTCGGTCCTGGGAATTAACATTCACGATGGCTCTGTTAATATTCAGTCATCAGTGTTATGAGTAACAAAGCTACAGATCATCTCATACCATTCTACAATCATCCGTAACCAGGCGTCCCAATCTCGATTGAAAATTATATTGTCAAGAAGTGTTTTGGCTTTGAGATTCGTTGTGTATTTTTCTAGATCCAATAATTTTGGATTTTGGCCATATTATGTAATTTTCTTTGACACTACAACTAGAGATTCATATTTCGCTTGACGAATGACATCGACTCTTGACAAAATATCGTAAATGCTTAAAACATGTATGGGATATTGAAAGTAAACATTCAGTATATTTGTTTCTTTGACATCATGGTGTCGTTGAGCCTTTTACCATCGTATACTTTAAAATCCCACTGAAGGATTTGCGTCTACCTGGCCAATGGTTATGGCATCTTCTACTTCTTCGCGAAGTTCCAGTCCAGAAAATTGAAACCAAGAGTCTTTTTAAGGACTTTGTCCTCTTCAGCAAGGGAAAGGGATGCAGCTACGGCAGAGACGTAAAGAAGGCCCAAACCAGTCCCTGGTGGAGGGTTAGGACTCAGGAGACAGGTTCCATCATACAGACTATAGACTGTAGAGTGTAGAGGAGTGTAACCGTAACCGACTAGCTGCTCCAGATTGGCGTGATTGGAGGTTCGTTAAGCCCATTGCCACCCGCCCGCGCCATTAAACTGTCACCAAAACCGGAAGTGACAATCGGATGTGTAACAACAAAGCAGTGACCGGAAGTGACGTAACGGATCCATCTCGCAGACATTGTCCAGCACTAATCGGACCAATCTGCCTTCAGTTCTAATGGGTTTCTACCAATTTAACAACTGTCCAGTCTAATTTGTAAATTACTCGGAATCGGTCTAGAATCTTGCTGGTCCAATGAGTCCAGGGACTAACGTTGGAGTTGATATATACTACGAGGATAGGTTGTTGAATCGATCAGCTGTATGAATATTTGGACCAAGAAATTATCAGATGTCGACATAGATGGTTTCATGTAAGATGGTTATTTCAATTACAAACCCTTAGCAGAAAATAGAGATTTCAAGTGAGTAGGCCTATCGTGTTGTTGTAAATGCTTTGAAGAGTATGGCATCTTAAGACAACATGAAAATACTCTGTAGTATTGCCCTTAAATTTACTAAACAAAACGCTGGAAGGTTGAACGTAATTTCGAACACTAAAAGTAGTCATAGAAGTCATAGTTACAGAAAAATTGCAATACAATTATTTGATCGAAATAAACAATATCCCTTTTGCTTTCTTCTTGTTGTTCGCATTGGCAAATACAGATGTTCATGACCATTGAATGGACCTCTTACTGAACACCCTGTATTTTTCTTGATACCGAAGCTCCTGACCAAAGGAAATGCAACTAATATACCAATCTGAATTCAATTTGCATTTTCCTTCGATTATTCATATTCAAATCTTGACCATCGATTACTCAGTTGCAGCATTACTGGTCAACCCGTGACCCGGGTAACCTTTAGTGACACGGTAACCGTTCCACAACTGTCACAGTTCACGGTAACCGCTCCAAAACTGTCACTGGTTACAGCTGGATATATCTAATCCATCAATCTCACTACCGATTTCTCCGGCTTTCCCAATTTTGTCTTTCATAATTTATCGTATTGTCGGTGTTTCCCAACGCGTTTCCATCATGTCGCGTTGTTTTTGTAAGTGATTCCGTATAGGTTGATGTTGTGCGGTTCTCACGCGGATTTTAATGTTTGTTTCAAATGACGGAGAAATCGACGGACGTTTGGTAACAGACAATTGAGTAAATAGAGAGGATTAGTGAATTGGAAGTCTAGTACAGTAAACTCCGAGGATATCAGTGCGGTAATATATCCACTTGGAGTGTTTGAAAACCGTTAAGTATACTCCCTTACAAAATGTCACGGACGATGAATCAAAATTAAAAGATATTTTAGATGATAGTCAGCATGGAGAGTATGACTTCATTTAATTCATTTGACTATTCTGAGCAGCAAAAACTATATTTCTCAACGTTTGACAACAGAATTCGGTGATTACGTTCGTCACTTAAGGATTCTTAAAGTGTATATATTGTTATAGTTAAAGTACTGTACAAGTAGTTTTGACTTAAAGAATTTACAAGACTGTAAAATTATTCTTTAAGTATTTATTCAACTTAATGCAGCTAAAATGAAGTAACATCATCTACTACTTCCATTGCCTTAATCGCACCCCTCCCCCAAATACTTTATAAAATTATAATTCTAAATCCCGCTAAACCAAAAACTAATTCCCATATTGTACTTTGTTTCCAATCAACGAAATACCCAAAATCCATTCTAGCTCGAGTATTTAACCGTTTGGAGTGGCAGTAAAGGTAAATCAACGTACAAGCTATCAATGGATGCCGAGAGAACAGGAAACTTTCATTAACCTCAATGACAAGAGACAACCCGACACATTTGTCCGACTAATAGTCTACACAGTGACACCACCTTAGCGCGGCCCCTCAATAAAACCTCCTGCTCTTTTAGCTAAAGTGATTTACTTGTCTAAAGTTTATAAAATCTAAAACATTCCAGTTTAAAAATCTGAATTTAAATAGGTAATCTGGTATTATACCGACCACACCTAAACTGGTTACCTTTAGGTTAGGTTATGTTCAGATCATCCTAACCTAACCTAGGTGTGGTAACCTAACCCAATTTAGGTTAGGTCAGTTGTTCGGTATAATACCAAAGTACATTAAAATAATATTTTTCGTAGAAGGGTTTCAAATGGAGTATAACATCCCGAAAAATCATATTAATATGCTTAATCCAGAATTTTTTTTTTTGTTTTAAATTGTATTTGTATAAGTAGATTTACACACATTTTACTGTGTCTATCTACGTGTATAAGCACCTTATCTTGTTAGAAAGCACCATTATAGACCAATAACAATTTAGTAACTCATCTGGAATCGAACCAGCGACCTTCAAATTTGAAGGCGATACACTCGGCTACCCAGTCAATACTTAAAACCTAAGTCATAATCGATACCGTATTTCCCTATCGACGACGCTAAGAGGAGACACAACGCTCCGACCTCACCCAGTGGGCGCGCCTATGGAAATGAGATCAGTTAATGACCCTCGGATGTTTTGATTGTGCCCAACATCGTACGTGAGTCGAATTTGGAAACTTCGTACAATTTCGGTCCAATTGTAAGACGGTGCAATGTTTCCTAATCGATTTGGTCGTTAATTGGCGACCTGATGTTATAGTCCTAGGTCCAAACATCTTGAAGATACACTGCGCAGCTAAACCAAACGCTTCTGCGGTTGATAGCTAATTCGGACGGGAGATTTCTAATTTCAATTTGCCTTTTCAGGGATAATTACGTGTAATTATACTCCAATTACGAGATTAATTCCGGTCTGTAATTGTAATATTTCGCAAGGACAGATTTGATTGTTAAATAGCAGAAATCAAGGTTGAAATGATGATTGAACTAATGTAAATTGCTGATATGATTGCTGACTCTTGAAATTAATCTAAATTTTGTTTGCAATGTTACTTAATTCTTTCACAGGTTAATTAATTAGATTTGTGTGTTTTGTTTTACAATAAAGTGTTTCCGTCTGATTGCAGGAAATCAACAGGGAGGAGAGGACGGGGGCGGAGTCCCTCTGAGCACGATGGGTCTCGAGCCCGCGGCCTTGCAGAACGTCTTGGACGGCTGCAGCACTTCCGGTCAGGGCACCATCAACATCCGGCTGAACCCAGGGTCCGTGCTAGGTGCGGTGGAGGTGGCGACGGAGGCCGGGTTCGTCTGCAAGGCGTGCAGACTGGTCTTCAGCTCGGAGGCCGCAACGCAGGGACATCAGAAGAGTTGCAGCTCGGAGGGCGTCCTGCGCCTCATCCGATCCAGATACTCCTGCACTCGTTGTGAAGGTGAGGTGTTCGACTCCGTACAGAGCTTCCAGCAACACTTCGAGAGCGCGCACCCCGCGGACCCGGCGCTAGCGCCGTCCCCTGGGCTAACCCACGAGATGGAGGACGTCGTCAACCAGATCACCGCCCTCGCCGCCAAGGCCGCCGCTCAGAGTCCGCCCGACCCCAACGCCAACATCTTCTGTCCGCCGCCGGAGCCCAAGAAGCCCAAGATGTTCCACTCCGTGCCCGTGCCTAGCGCCGGACAGTAAACACATCAGCACCGCCCGACACCACATCACACGTAGAGTTACCAATATATATAAATATTTTATTTTGTGATATCGAATTTATATGGATAAGAAAGTTATTATTTTGTGCACCGCTACGTCTGTCGGGCGGGCCTCTACATCTACAACGACAAACTCAACCGATCAAGACACACAGTTCCTCCTCGACAAGTCCGTGTTCCTACACCGAATGTGACTAATCACCTGAGACAAACTTTCTACACCGTTAACTTTGTATATAAGTAATCTTTATTAATTAATTATAGTAAAATGAAAGCGGCGGGTGCCGCCGAGGGCGCGCCTGCCGCTGCAACCCAAACCTCGCTAATTCGCTGTATCGTTGGCAATTTTAATAATATAAATATTATATACGGTATCAATAAGAGGCGAGAGCCGATCTACTCATCTATAAATAATATAAGCGTGTGTTTTTAAATGTGTAAATGTACGTTTCGTTGACCCACCCTCGCCGTCGTGGCAGCGAGCGAGGGACTCGCTGTATAAATTTTGTTTCGTTTACGTTTTTGGTAACGTACAGTTACGTTCGTTTTGCGTTACGTTTGGTCAGTTACGTTTCGGGTCAGCCCGGCACCGCGGTGCTGACGGGTCCAAAATATTTTTTTTCGGTTTTCGACACCGACACCGATCCCCTCCCGAGCGGCGGCGGTCGTCACTTTTGTAACTATCCGCAAGCCAGATCGGTCCACCACGGCCGCCGCACGGACGGACGGGATCCGGGGGCCAGTTTTGCTCCCTTTGATTATGTGTTGGCATTAAAGGAACCAAAAGTGGCTCCTACGTCGTCGCCGGCGCTGGGACCGGTGGCGACGTCCCACAACTAAATGTACTCGTCATTCAGCCGATAACAGTAAACCAATCACACCGATTCAGCGACGACATATCACCCCCACAAGACTGTCTCTGTCTCGCCACATGGCCGAGGGTTCAAAAACAAAAGTACATTTTTTTGTAAAACTTCCCAGCACCTAAGGTTCCTATCTCTAGCTAACATTTTACTAAGGTTCCTGATCCAAATGCTTTTCTATATAATAATTATTACGATATAAGATTTAATTGTACTGTTTCTTAGTTAAGTGTGACAGGTGTTGATGTTAGTGTAATGGTAATGTTTTGATGCCTCGGACACAGATACAGTAAGATAGTATAGGGTCTATCCGACTGCTCACTGTTCTTTTACACGGATCAATCGCGATCCTCAATGCTATGGCACAACTCCTCATGTTCCTATACTTCGTTGTTACGCCTCCTCGGTATGCTAGTTCCTAGTCACAACTACCTACCTCCACCGAGCGACTCTCAGAAAGTCCACCTACTCATATAAAACATCGATCGATCAACAAAAAAATACAAGAGGGTAATCTTCTTTTTTCAAAAAATTTACACTTTTTAATTTTGACAATATTATACTAGCTGTACCCGCGGGCTTCGCCCCGTTTAACTTCATAAGTATTCGCATGGCTCATTCTTTAGATCTTCTACATCATTAGTAGCAAAATTATAGACTTTTCATTTTGGCAATTACAGATTAAAAACAAGGACTTTCTGATAGTTGTCTTGACGTTAAGGTTTTCTTTTCGCCTCAAAACGTTTCTTCAAGCTTGAACTAACAATACTAACAACTTATAAAATAATTTGCATGATGCATGTATGTACTTCTGTTGTGATTTTATCCCTTTTATTTTCCAAATCAATTCAAACCGGAAAATATTTTCTGATTTATTTTCATTTTGTGGAGTTGATTTTCAAAATTTGCATGGCGTGTATTCCTCGAATCAATTTTTTTCTGCTTTTTCACTAACCTCGTTTTATCACAAAACTCTTGTGATTTTCTCTTTTTCCTTTATTATATTTTTTATTGCCCTCAAAGAACCTTGGATGCTGTTTATTTTATCCCAGTGCTTTTGTTTTTGCCCTCCATTTTGTTTGTTGTATTTAGTATTTTCGTTGTACATACTGTATAGTTAGTATTGTTAGTCAAAGCCCCACCCAAGCAGTGTGACTGTATTGTTAAATCTCGTATTTATTTGTAATATTTATGTATTTAGTCACGTTTCGTTGTACATGCTCATATTTATTTACGTTACGCCTCTAGTATTGTTTACTACACTATTAATATTATATTATATTTATTTCTCTCGACGTTGATTGTGATGTATATACAGTTTATTATCAGTTATCTTCTGGGTCATTACATTGAGGACTACATAGAAGTGTGTGTGTGTGCGAATGAATGGTTGCAAGTGTGAGAGAAAGTCAGATACATTTTAAAAAGGTTACAAAACGAAACAACTATTTTACACAAATGACTGGTGATGTTTTTGTTTTTACGGGATTCTCAAACATAGCCTGCCCATATTGTACCAGAAAAAACTATCTGCATTGTATAAATGGTAATAAACTACTAGTTTATGAGTACACTTGTCTATTTATTGGTTAACCTTTCGATATTTAGTCAGTGTAAATTATACACTCCAAAGCAACCTGCATGATAGAAATATAAATTAAACAACGGAAATAAGTGGTTGATCAACCTGAAGAAAAAAAAAATACTTTTACAACTTGAATATTAACTTTTGTAATTGTACAGTTTCCGATACTTATCAAGAATTTACAGTAGCTATGTCAAGATTTAGTTTTGGTTTGAAGTTTATTAAGTCTCACGACACGATGAGATCCATACAAAATTTCAAACTACCCTTAACTGTTGATTGTAAGGCTTTTTATTTTGTAACACATCGTACATTGTTTCACACACATCTTGTATTACATAAATTTCGTTCTAAAGAAGCTAGTTTGTCTGTTATGGCTGAAGACGAATTTCACGCAATTGTACAATTCATGAAGAACCATAATATGTTATTAGAAGTAAAATATATACAGTTTAAAGTTTGAGTGGAATATTTTAAAAACAATTTCTTATAGAATAATCTAATTATTATAAAAGTTCATGTTTTTTTGAAACAAAGAAGTAGAAAAATGACTACTTTTCACTACAAAAATATACACTATATTATCTAAAACAATAATGGACTCTACTGCTAAGTTAGACGCAACTGTCAATACGAAGTACTATAATATGTTCAAAGAACTGTTATATATTAGTAAATTTATTAGATAAACTAACTAAAACTGAACTATACACTTTTGCTTGAAAGAGGAGTTTTCCCACGATGATTCATTTTCACAAAATTAATCCAGCACAAACTATTACATTTGGGAACTTCTGTCAAAATACAGCATACACATCTACTATCTCTAAGCATACTGGATTTTTGATCGTACCTTCAAATCCTGGGACACTGGAACAAGTCTTGGAGCAGATAAAGATGGAAGAACAGAGCACGGAGATGGTGGATAAAGTGGTTGTCTGGATAACATAAAAATTAAGTATACAATGTATAATATCATAATTTCATCTAATACAAGGTCATGGAGTATGGCAACACCGCAACGGCCGGAATATTGGGAATAACAGTAATAACAAACGTAAACATAAACATAGCGCAGAATCTCCATTATAGATTAGTGCATCAGCTGTTTCCAGAGGCCGGGATTGCGGTGTTGCCACTTCTCTCTCGCCGCGGCCTTGTATTAGTAGAGGAGAGTGAGTATGTTTTATCTATGGTAGAGGCTATGATTATATTCATCAATGACACAAACATTTCTATTTTAAGAGAGATTGGTATGTAAAACCTTATAGGATTGTAATTTGAATACATTCGTTTAATGAAAATTGCAAAGCTTACCAGTTAGAAAAACTCTTAAAATGTATGGTAGGCCTACCTTAAAAAAGTCAGAAAAATAATCTGAATTTTATTACAATTTAGAAAGCGCTTTTGTTTCCAATTTACCTGAATCACGTTGTATTAATTTGATTATCAATTATCAATTATTTAAGATAGGGACGCCACTATGTGCGTATTTTAACTTAAATATGAGTGTAGGATGATTATTTGAGAGAGAGTTTTCTTTGGAAAAACACTTTTGATGGAAGACGATTTAATAATCTATTGCTTATAACTAATATAAGTGAAGGGTTCAAACTCTGAAAATACCTCTCATTAGAATAAATGAGGTGAGTGAATTTAACTCTCAGTGGTTGAATTTGTTAACGGCAGAAAATCTCCAATGTAGCTTGGTAATGTTTTAGAATATGAATCACTTTAGATAATGATGTTTCTTTCACGGCTCTCTCTGACGGATGCCCAGACTTCATGGAGGAGAACTGGACTTTCATAGCACTTGAAGAAGGGTATTTCATTTTAAGACGAATTAACGCAAGTAATTTACATTTTACTTAAGTTAATACAAATCTTGAATGATCTCATGGCTTAAAGACACCATACGATTTATACCTCAATGAAAGTTAAACTCGCTCCTACTTTAATAGTAAACATTTTCACAAAGAGGGACTTCAGGATAATAGTGGATGTAAGTTAAAATTGCTCAACAAATACGATTACACAGTGACACAACTAAATGTATAATAAATAGTGGTAATTACCTTGCATATCTTTAAGTGATTCAACTTTTAGTCCAACTACCGTAGTTTGAAGCTCTTGGTGGCTGCTGTACAGGATTGAACGAGATGGTTAGTTTTGGAGTAGAATAATGTAGTGAATAGACTGTGGATTGGTTGTAAATAGTTTGGTACTTTCGTTACAAGTTGAATAAAAAAGGTTAAGTTTAGGGTAACACTTTTCTAAGTTTAAAAATTTATATCTTTTAACGTGAACATAATAAACAAAACAAACAGGAAAATCACAGCTGACACAACAGAAATTGCAGTAGCAACACTAATAACTGGGTGGAATCATTGACTTTCGGATACATAAGTAGACATCCCATCTATAGGGACCAGTTGTCACCAATTTACTAACAATATTGTAAATATTGTAGTTTTGTGAGCCAGTCACAAAATGCTTTAGTGTCTAAATTTCAACCTTATTTTTTGGTGCTGCCATAGTTGATGGGTTATAATAGTTGCTATAGTTCACAATAAGTTCCATCAGTTTGACTTGGTAAAAAGAATCGTGTATTTGGCAAAAAAATAGTAATTTAGATCAGCACAATCTGTTTGGTGGCTCACATCAACTACGACAAATTCGATAAAAACTGGTGACATCTTAAAAATAGGGATGGGATGCCTAGAATACGCCCAGAGCTTGGTATAACAAAATTTAGATCATTACTCGAAACAATTTTTTTAGTAAGGAAGGAACTTAGATTTTAAATTACCACACCAATACACAATCCCACACACCGGAGCTCAACCCAGAGGAACCTCACCTAATTAAAGCCGCAGGGAACAACCAAGCCTTCGTCGTTAATATTTTTATTTGCCCAATAAACTCGGGAGACGCTAAAATAATTAACACAATTTATGTAGAGCTCGAGTATAGCCAATAATCAAGGTGCTTTACCTGCCTCTGGCCACTGTCCTTGGGGGGGGGGAGTACTTCAAAGCCATGCTTAGAATCAAAGACACGATTAAATCTTCTGAATAAAATATATATCACTTTGATTTTGAGATTTTACATATTTGATACCGCTACGAATGACAGAACGATTAAATAAGTTAAATACCCCCCGCCGCAGCAAACCTGCAGACTAAGCGAATTTCAATTTGCCTGATTGGATTTACACTAAAATGTACCTTAAAAATATCACATTTATTCCCTATTTAAATAGAATTAGTTTAACGAGTACTTAGGTTTGCTGCAACAGGGAGGGTAAGTGTTTTTTTTTTTTTTTTTTTTTTTTTGTAAAATGTTAATATTTTACTGTAGTAAGAAATAAATGAATTTTCCTCAAAATGAAAAAGCAAACCGGTCCCGGGTCAAGTTCTTACCATGAGTACTACGGTAATAGCTTATTCCCTATATGGGAAATTCGCTAAAACTTAAGGAGAAATTTCGAAAATCCTAATTCGCTCATTTCAACCACTTTGCTGTGTAAAACTAGATGCATTAGAAAAGGTTGAGAAAGTAAATTATGCCTAAGAGTTTACATAGGAACGATAAATAAACGTACTCATATTTACGAGTATGTTCATAAACATGGTAAGAGGTTGTGATATAACTTACAGGAGAATTACAATCCAATTTTAGAACAGTAATAAATAAATGTGTTTGTCATTGTATGTGTTGGTTTCGAAAATGAATAACAGTTTCATAAGGGGTTTCATTACTAGCATATCCTTCAACAGTTAAACAAGTCAAATGGAATAATTTAAAACTTTTTTTAAATAGCAAATTTGACTATTAAAACACATTACATTAGAGACACCTCTAATAGATTAATTTCTAACATTATTAGATAGGCCAAAAACAGGATGAAAAAGTACTATGATTGACAAATGCATTGTCTATTCATTTAACATAAACCATCAACTCTTACTTAAGTACAAGTTCTTAACCAAGAATATTAGAACAGAAACGGTATGGATCAAAACATAAACAAATTACGTCACTGACTCGACTCCTCTACTAATTTTTTGACTGTTACATTTTATAATAATATGAACATTATTTATTTTCGGGCCATAGACATTATTTGTGTTTAAGATCCATACAGTTTCTGTTCCAATATGCGTGTAGCAGTTAGTTTGAATTATTTAGAACAATACATAACATAAGACTTAAACACAAAAATAAACTTCAAATAAATAGTAGTTTTCGTCACTAGTCCCAAAAGTATGCTTTTTTCGGACGATATCGTGTTTAACCAGAAATTCCATTAAGTCACAAAAAAAGCATTTGAGGATGAGTTACGAACAATATTTTTCATTACATCGTCATATATTATAGCAGAAAATATCAAAATATAGCCAAAATACAGTAACACTAAATGAATTTGTAAGAAAAATTTTAAAGGATCAGAACAGCTGATTTATTTTGAGCTTTAGACATAACCATATGATTCGAGTCCGTGAAATTTTACGGACTAGTCCGCTTTAGGGATCTTTAGGGACTCAAAACGATCCGTAAGACAGCTGTTTTGAGACAGTGTAATGAAAAACATTTTAACTAGCCTAAGGGGAGGTTTTCATTACTAAATAATAATTTTAAAAAATAATTAAGAGGTTATTTCACCACTAGACAAAATCAAGGTAACACCTCTTATATTGTTCAAGCGATTTGAGACTACACAAAAAATAACTAAAGCCAAGTAAAATATCTTCCAGATTTCAGGGATATCCCCAACTGGTATTGACTACAAAACAATATGTATATGCAGGGACACGAAGGACAAACTTATATGAGATTCCATTATTACTCAGGGACTTTGACGAGCATTGATTGTTATATGTTATTATACGATCAGCAACAATGCTATGACCGAACTGAGACCGAGATTGATATTGCTTTTCTATTACTGAGAATGTCAATTTCGGAGGTTAGTTTCCGAATATA